AAACTTGGCACAGTTGTTGGTCCTGGTACAGCATACCAAATGGCCGAAAATTTAAAGAATCGGAAAATAACCACGCCCACATCCCATATAGCGGTAATTTAGAAAAATACGAAATATTAAAGCTAATTTTTTCAAAATTGATGGTTGCAACAATTCTTAACAAAGAAACATGTTTGGGATAAAATTTTGGAAAATGGGCGTGGCACCGCCCACTTATGGTCACATATATGTATCTTGGTAACCGTTCAACCAATTTGTATCAAACTCGGTGCGGTTGTTGTGCTTGCCACATAAAAGCAAACCGTTGAAAATTGTTGAAATCGGACTAAAATTGAGGCCGCTTTTCATATAACGGTAAATTTCAGATATGCTTGAAATTTCAATATTTCGAAATTTAAGGACGCTAATTTACTTAAAATGTATACACCCCGGCTTATCATGTAGCGGTAGCTTTCGGAAAGGTGGAAAACATATATTTAATACTTGCGCCGGGTATTTAATGTTCGGCTCCGCCCGAACTTAGACTTTCTTACTTGTTTTCATTTAAAGTTTTAGAAGAAAAACACATATAACACGAATTATTTTTGTTGGTTGAAAAAGGAGCGATCGATTCGTTAAATCTGCCTTAAAATAAAATATGTTATAATAATTCTGCACCGTTTTATATTTATATTTGTCATCATTTCATCATTTCTAAATATGGTTTAGCTTTTTCTAAATATGGTCACCCAAATAAAAAATGCGACGAAATGATATCAGCTGTTTTCGCTACCGGTCTAATTCTGTGTAAGTAGTGGAAATAGCTGGGTGAATGGTGAATGACAGGATCGCCCAATGCGGCGAAGTTTGCCGTTCGCCGGCATTGTGTTTCAGCTATTAGCTAAAGTCCTATTAAGTACCCCACGTATATATATTTAACCAAGGCGGATTTATACAAGGTGGTGTTACTGGCGAATTTAGATTTTCGCCGCGGTACTGCTGAATGGCAATATGATGTGTTTGTTGTAATATGAATTAGCCTTGTTTACAACAAACACATCATTTTGACATTAAGAAGTAGCGCAAAAAATTATTTCAAAATTTATTTCATTTAAAAAATGCAAACCAAATTTTTTTAATTTAAGAAATGCCAAGTGGAAACATACATACATAATGACTAGTTTTATGAACGAATTGGTAGGGGCATTTTTTAATGCCTAGTGGAAATTCAGCATTACATTCGTGTTGTTTCAATTCTTTGCTTTTGAATATTTCATTGAAAAATTATATTAGGGGAGTTAACTATTTGTAGCACTTTAGGTGTAAAGTTGCCACGTAGCAATCTAGCACTCATTTTGTTGTTGGAGATATACAATAGTGAACTACCCTTAAATATTTTTAGTATTATTTATGAGGCCATTGTTTCCTAAATCATTTATTCTCTTTCCGCCGATTTCTTTAATTTTACTTTTTAGTTTATAATTGTGAATGTAGTACTATTTATTTTTATTTTAAACTATTTTAATCACCATTTAGGTTCTTGGAATGGAGGTAACAGCAAGTTGTGAGGGTGGCCAAAAATGGACGGGACGCCCTCCAACTCCTGTTTTCTTTTCACACCATGAACATGTAAGTGTGCGCCAGGCTAACTTGCAATTAATTTCACATACATATACATATGTATTCACCAATAGATATCTAAGAAAATTACTTATAATTTGGATTTGAAACTAACTACTTATGCGCATGAAAACCCCAAAAATTCCAAGAACGTAGCATTTACTGTAAACATTTTTTATTATACATAAGAATATTGCAGAACTTCATAATAAAAATAATCAAATATTTTTCCTCGCATTACTACACAGTCCAAAGACAATGACGAAGATCAAATGCCTGAACCACAATCCATCTACCTTGAAGGTGCTTTAGCACACGAGTCACAAATATTGGTTACCGATTCGGAAACAAAGGCGGAGGAGGTCTACGATAAAGAGCTCAATGGCTCACTAGAAGAGCCAGCGGTAAGTGAACATACATAAGTAAAAATTAATTAAAATAGAACAAAACTAACTATGGGCAAATCCATGGTGGAATATCTCACTCCTCCAGCTTAATTAATCCACTAATAATCCACTAGCTGGGAAATAAATAAATAAACGAAAAATTACTTAAAAATAAAACAAGACAAAATAAATTAAATATAAAGGAATTAAAAAATAAAATATGAATAAATAGCACAAAAAATTAAATGAATAACATAAATATATGTATGTTCAAAACGAAATAACAATAATAACAAAATAAAATAATTAAAAATGAAATAAAATTACATAACCAAAAAATTTAAAAATTAAAATAATTAGAAAATAAGACAAAATAAAAAAATAAATAATATGAAACGTAATAAAATAAAATAAGAGCACAATTAAAAGTAAGTTAATAAACATAAAGGATGAAAAAAAATAAAACAAAATTAAGAAAAAATAAAAATATCAAAAACCATGCAAATAAATGAAATACAATTGAATTAAATGAAATTAACGAAATACTACTTAAAAACAAAACAAGACAAAATAAAATTAAATATAAAAGAATTAAAAAATAAAAATTTTAATAAAGTAACAAAATATTAAATAATAAATAACAAATTATGAAATCAAAAAATTAAAAATTAAGTGAGACCAATAAAATGATTTAAATGATAATAGGAATGAAATAAAAAAACCAAAATTAAATAAAACTAAGTTGAATGAAAAAATAAGAAAAGCTTAAAAATTAAATGAAATTAAACTAAATGAAACAAATTTGAAAATATAAAATGAAATGAAAAAATAAATAAAATTCAATAAGGCAAATTAAATTAATTAAGGCGATATAAACTTTTTCCTACAGTATACTATGAAAAATTAATCACCTTTTGAAAATCTTTTACTAGGATAAATCTTTTTTTATTTAACTTCAGGTTGTGCTTAGCAGTAAAATGACATTATCGCTAATTAATTTGGATACAAATCATGAAAATAGTGAGGAACAAAAGAAACCAGAAGTCGAAAGTCCACTGGCAGACGATATCGAGATAATTGGCGACGATGCAAAGTTAAATGCTGGAAATTGAAATTCATCCTATCAAAAAATAAAAATAAAATAACATAAAAAAAATTGGAAAAACTCGAGGACTTCTTGAATTCATTGATGAATTGATTGAGATGAGAGCTGTTTCAGAAACGAATCGAACAAAGAAATGAATAAAAGAATCCGAAATGAATATGTATTTCCATAAAGTATGCTACATTTTGTGGAAGATTGTATCGATATCAGCCGATTTATTGAAATTGAAAACCATAAATTTACATTGTGACTGATAAATGCATATATATTTTTGTTTACATGTTTTCATGAATGTCGTGAACCAAATAACATAAATACTTATCAATTTGTAATATGTAAAAAGGCCTTATTTTTTGGCGCTTATGATAAATATGTATAAAAACTTAAGAACTTGTACTTCCGTTGTATGGAAAACCTACTATCAACAATGATAACACTCTTCGTTTTTTTTTCTTTCTAAAATATCTACATGGATGCATTTTCTTTCTAATACTATTTTTTTCTATCGTTTTTGTTTTGTTATTTGTACATTTTAAAAATTTGCTCGTATCTACTATGTGCTCAAAATAATTTGTATGCCAAATACTATCATTAAACACAAACAAGGAATACGTATTTCCAAACCTTAAAATACACACCCCAAAATATTTGAACATTTAAATTATTTATACCACATACCAAATGCATAAATATTGTGTTAATTAAATACTGTATTTGTTTGTTGTTCAAAAATGATATTATTAATAAATCTAGTCTTCAACAAAACAAAAATTTGTCGCAATCATAGTTTCTAACTATTGCCAATTTATTATAGTCGTATTCATCTTGAAATTTATTTTTATTTTTTGGCAAATTATGTATGTATTTATGCAACTACTAATAGTGAGTAATTTGACGTATTTTCAATGATATTTATATTTATAAAAGACCAATTTTATGTGAAATTTGGAAATTTGGAAATACTGGGGTTTAAAAGCCAAATAAAATAGAATTAGGGAAAGCTCAAATTTGCTGCAGAAGTTTTAATTTCGTTTAATAAAGTTAATCATTAAGTAAGTATCTTGCAATACCCTCACCCACCAACACAAATTATAGGAGTTTCATCAACAAATTTTGAATCTGATATAGAGCGCCTATCAAGCAGATACCTAATCGGTAAATATCTTTTATATTAGGGAAAATGTTACGAAAGTACTACTGAGTACACGTACCGCCCTACATAATGTAGACACCGCCATACAAAATGTTGTTAGGCGGATAGAGGTACATACATATGTACTATTTATGTAGAAAATAATTTTTTAGATGCGGTAAAAACAATAACTTTTCAAATGGATAGGAAATGTCGAGCCCTAACGGCCAAAATAACGTAAGGGACATTTTTTTTTAATTTTCGTTTTGATGGAGAAATATTCCTAGAGCATTTAGACGTATTTTGATGCTATGGAGTTTGCATGGTACCACCCGATCGGCAAGCAGGGACACTTCACAAGGTGGAGGGCCTGCCTTCCCCTGGTCGCTAGTGGTGAATATTTGGTAATAATTGGAAAGTCACTGGGCACAGTGAAGAAATATTGTTGCTTTAGTGTGTAATAACAATTATGTTTTTAATTAAAAATTAAATTTTAAACAATTAATAATGAGTATTATAGTTCTTAAATTCATGTGCAGATATACATATGTACATACATATGTCGATTTATCATAAAGGGTATTTATGAGGCAGTTTTAAAGCTCTTAGTGTGCAAGTACAGTTTGGGTGGCAATGTTGGAGACAGAGAGAGTTGCATAATTCCGGTCAATAAAATGCGTAGTATGCTAATAACCAATAATCGTACGTGACACAAATGGTCAAAGTAATAATTATGCGAGTTTGCAGCTATATTATAAATAAAAATTGATATTTCAGCATGCTGAACCCCAATTTTTCAAGATTTTAAAAACTACCACCCTGTTATAGCTAATTGAATCTCTCCAAGCATTGTTGGGTCTATGGCCACACTAGTCTCCACTTTCAAACAGCTGTAAGGTTGTCAAATTTGACTTTTCTTTAGACGGGCTGTTTTGGTGAGTGAAATTACGTAAAAAAGTAAGTAAAACGATTTAAGAATAAACTGTTTATTGTTTGTTTGGAAGTTAAATTGCCAAAAAATGTAAGCGCTTAAAATAATACAAATCTTATAACGTAATGTCAATTAACTTTCGTAATCCTGCTTTTGGCTGTTAGCAAAAATAGGGCTGTCCGATGCACTGGATGGGCCATATAGAATGGTAGATTCAAATTTGTAATACATTTTATTTGTTATTTTGATTTTATTAAAGCATTTACAATGTCGTTCCTGAAATCACAATACTATGACTACCCTGAGGGACAGGATGCATTTGGAAAAATCGTTGCCACCAACAAATATGCCCTTGGTGCCGGTCTCGCTTGGTCCACATGCGATGTGCTAATGCTGTCCAAACCGCAAGGCTATCTACCGACTTTAGCGCGTTTTGCTTACAATACAGGTCCAGCGATGGGTATGGCTACTGCATTCACATTGGCCACATTGGTGTCGACGAATGTGCGCGGCAAGGACGATAAGTAAGAGATTTACTTTATAAGTACGAGATATAAATATGTATATTTCTATCATTTTAGATTAAACTATGTGATTGGTGGATTTGCCGCAGGTGCAGTGTATGGTGCGTGGAGAAAAAATCACGTTTCGGGTCTTCTTGCAGGACTTTTCCTCGGTAATTTTACGACTTTTATATTATTTGTTAGCTTGCTGGATAAAAACACATACATACATATATTTATTTTTTCAGGTATCGCTGGCGCTGTGAAGAAACTATCTAAACAGGAGGGCTGGGATTTCTTTCCACCAATTAGGCACCAGCAAGGCTCACTAAACGGTGTCATTCATGATTATACAATAATGAAGGATCCGGGCAATCCCAAAGGTGGATTATAAAAAAGTTGGAAAATGCAATATGACTGAAAAAGTGGATTTCATACTAGCATGTTAGATAATACCGAAGTTGGCGCTAATGAGCAAATAAATCACAGAACGATTCCAAAGTCTTGAAAAAATATTTCTCCTAACTTAATAAGTCATAACTGAACGTCTAGCTTCAGTTGCATGGCATGTGGCTGAGATGGTAACACAAATCGCAACTGGCAACTGAGTTGCTATATTTCTTTTTTTCAATTGTTTTTTCAGCTTATTTACACTAAGAGCCTTATTCTCTATCTCGAGCGATTCGTCTGCAGAGGAATGCTGCAAAAACTAGTTCGGCGGCATCATTCTAGACGGCTTAAAGGTAACCGAAACGATTGCCACATAATCGACGTAAAGCGAGACGAAGACGATCGATAGAGTAATAAAATTGCAAACAGACGATGCCATAGGAGACGAATCGTTCGTTCGGCCTATGGTTCGAGATACATAATAAGGCCTTAAGTTGTTGGTTGCTGGTGCTTTAGATTCTATTATCTTATAGTTGCTGCTCAGAATATACCTATACAGTGGCCGAAATAATTATAGCCGCACCACATTTTGACAAGTTTTAACATATTGTTTTTGTTCTTATTTAATTTTGGTTATTTTTTTTATAAAAATATAGTTCATTCATGAGATGTGATTAAACTCCATTTTAGTTCTAAAAATTTGTTATATTTTTTAATCCCTTAAGTTCCAACAAGGCACAACTATTTAAATACATACTCCCTTCAGATTTCAATAGGAAAATTATTTTAAAACAATGACTGGACAGCGTCGATAGAAATTAGAACCACAAGGTTTTGTATATGGGCAAATTCTAGCGTTGCGGACGGTACCTTTAGACGCTTCTTTTGACTTTTTTTGCCGAAAAAAAATTATAAGAAAAATTTTTTTTGTGGTATAAGGAAAGGTATACAGCAGTACTTATGAGAACAGGTGCAATGCCTGTGACGGGTGGAGTCACCTCCGTAACTGCTCGGGCCTACGTACGCACCGGTAATGGACCACGTCGTTCGTGGCCCCATGCTGTGCGAGCGATGGCGCACCCACCAGGATTATGGGCAGCTGCCGCAGCTCGCCAGATCGCCAGATCAGCGCTAGTCTGATAAACAGCGTATCATGGCGACCTATGCTGACCCTATCATCGGACATCTCGATAGATAAATCTGCCGACTTTGCATCCGCGGATCACCGGACCTATGTATGTCAACTTTTCCAAAGCTGACTGGGAAGGCCTCGCGGATGTTACAGAAAGCACTACCCATACCAACCGACGTTCACGTAGGTGAATGTAAATTCCGCAGGGTTGTCACTGCTGCAGGGGCTGTTCTAGCCGATGAGCGTGACAATCTTCTTCCGGCCATTCCCGGAAATCCCCGTATCAGGGATCTCAATTCGGAGATTCGGCAACTTGTGAACGTACATAAGCGGTAGAAATGGGAAGAGCATTTGAAGAACTGCAACTTCGCCTCTGGTATGAGTAAGCTTTAGTCAACCGTGAGGTCGTTGTCCAACCCGGCGAAGCGTGACGACAGTGTTGGAATAGACTTTGGTGACCACGCTTCGTCGGACCCGGAGCGACGCGCGAGCTATTTCAGCCGACAGTTCATTCTGTATCCTCCTTGGGGAAGCCAACCAACAATGGAGAGTCTTATCGCCCGATAACCCTAACCATAAAGTGCATAGCACAACAACAGCACTTACCGCCATAAACACTCAAATAACTCGTGGCCTTAACCAAAACCGCGCCTGTGAGATAAATATTCCAGTAGCGTTGGACCTGTCCAAGGCATTCGACACTGTCAGTCATTCAACGCTGCTAGAAGACATAGAGGCCTCCTCACTCCCACAGGACTCAAACGGTGGTCGGCGAATTATCTAAGTGGTCGACACTCGTCAGTAATTTTCAGAGACAAAACCAGCAAGCTAGGTAAAATTAAACAGGGGGTACCGCAGGGTGGTGTCCTGTCCCCCTACTATTTAATTATTACATCTCAAAGCTTCCTCAACCACCAGAAGGTGTCAATATTGTCTCTTATGCTGACGATCGTTCGATCATGGCGTATGGGAATGTGCTCGAAAGTAAACGGTTATCTCGCCGAACTTTCTCGCTTCTTCACTGCAAGGAGCCTACCCCTATCTCCTGCGAAATCCTCGGCAACCCTATTCAGCACCTGGATGAAGGAGGTCAGACTGCAACTGGGTATTCACGTTGATGGCGTAACAATACCGATGGTGAATAACCCGAAAATCTTCGGAGTTACCTTGGACAGTCTGCTCTCCTTCTCGGCCGCAATTATCAACAAAGTACAGAACCGCAACAATGTCCTCAAGTCGCTACCCGGCAGCACTTGGGGCAAAGATAAAGAAACGTTGTTGGCAACATACAAGGAAATTGGCGGCCGGTTCTAAACTATGCAGCGCCCGTGTGGTCGCCTGGGACTAGCAGGACGCAGTGGATGAAGCTACATACCTGCCAGAACACGAACACTACGAATAGCGACCGGATGCCTCCTGATGACGCCCCACACCACCTACACGACGAGGCCCAGATGCTCCCAGACAGCCCAGTTGTGGGGAGCCACAGACGTGGCCATCTTAGTAAACAGCTGCTTACAGAAGAGCCCTAGCCAAGGCACGTCAGGAGGCATCGCTACGAACTGACGGACGAAGTCCAGAGGTTCATTAAATAACCTCTGGACCCGCCAGCCTACCGACAGGCCCTGAACGGCATTCACAGGGAATCAGTCTCGAGTTATGTAGACTCCCACCCTGTGAATGCCGTTCTAGGCACACAACTACCGCACGTGGCTATTGCAGCAGGCTAAACTCATACCTGAGCAGAATTAATGAGGATGTGCCCAACCAATGCCCGGCATGTGGAGATTCACCACATGACTCTCGGCACCTCTTCACATGCCCTGAGAACCCCTCCCAGCTGACGCCCCTGTCCCTATGGACAGACCCTGTTAAAGTCGCACACTTTCTGGGCCTCCCC